AGAGAGAGAGAGAGAAAGAGGATAGATATAGAACATGACAGGAGGAATAGAGAGCTAAGTACTGAAAGGGTGAGAAAGAGAGAGAGAGAGAAATCGAGACAAAGAAATCATCCAATATTGACTGATATCAACATGAACACGGACAGTGGGTGTGGGTGTGGGATCCAGAGTAAAGCGTTCATCTAGGTCTCCGGATGGCTAAGCGTTACCATGGCGACGGAGACTCTAAGGAGTTCGGAGCACATTCATTCCACTTCTGACACAGTTATTGCGCTAATACATCACCACTGGCACAGCCGTTTACTGAGTGAAACGATGGTTAGCAGCATTAAACCACATCCATTTACCATTTAATTAAATCAATGCCCAATAAAAAATAACACTGGCCCTTATGACATCACTTCACAATTCAGAAACTTTGAGCTGCACACAGTGACATCACTCTTATACTTGTATAATAGGCAGAATTTTAAGCCATCAGATTTTAAGGTAGTATCACATTGACATTAATCGACAATGCCGTGCCATACACTGTTAGAAATAAAGGTTCTGTGCAGGTACATTTCTCGTTCATCAAGGTACAAACAATGCCAATTTAACATAAATGTACATCATTAGTTTTAGGGACCAATTGTGTACCTTAAATCAGTTTTTCCCATAGGAGAAATATGTATTTGTACCTTTTCATAACTTAATGTTTTAAAACCGAACAATAAAATAAAAAGCCTGGAGACGAGATGGGGTGTGTGGAGTCAATACAACTTAGAAAACATAGTTTCAATGGATTATGGTACAATTATGTTCCCTGACTAAAGGTACTGAGCTGTACCTTGAGTATACCACCACAGTGGCAAGTGGGGTACTGCCCCAGTGACAGCTTTGTACCTTTATTTCTGAGAGTGTATTTCATTGCAATAAAAGGCTTTCACCCAAAATAGTGGATGAAGGCAAAGTGGCCAGGGTTTGAACTGAGGAGGGGCTGGGGTGGCCCTGGACCCTCCATAAGAAATAGAAACCTTAAACACTTTAATTCAGCAGCAGCCATGCACATAAATGCAGTAACGGCCATGCCATAAAAAAAATGTTTTTGTTGCCAAAAGTGTTCACTTTATGTTCGTTTGAGAACTTGTGATGGGTAATGTTCACACTAGTACAGGGGTCGGCAACCCAAATGTTAAGAAGAGCCAATTTGTCTTTTCAACAAAAATTAAACCACCTTGGGAGCCACGACATTTTATGTCAATTTTATTGAAGTGATGTTTTACCATCTTGGCTGTAAATATGGCTCAGTATGTGCTAACGTCCTAGTGTAGGCTAGAAATATAATATAAATGAAAACGCAGATTTACTTTGTTCTGCTTTAAGCTTTAGCTCAGCTAACATTATAGCCGGCATTTCTCGCATCTCTGGCAGGAAACTTTTTTAGCAAAAGTAGAATAGTTTCTTGTAAAATGTCTCTCCACATTCTATTTTTTTAGTTATCAGGTGCTATGCTTACGTTTGTGAGTAGAGGAGTGAATATTGATTGATTAATAAATATTACGTGTTTCTACCAACAGATAGAGCAAACTTTTTTAACCCCTTAAATGGCGGCAAGTTTTATTACACAATTCTATTACCTAAGAATAACTCAGCCATTTTGCATTGACATCCCTGTAGTTACTAAATAATAGGCCTCAGTATGTAATAAGCCTGAAATGTTAAAGAACGGAGGATTGTAGTGGAAGCACTTGGGTGTTAAACCAAAATCTGTGACTGTGTGGCATTAGCATTTGGTTCACATGGCTCCAGTTCAGGTTGGAGGGCCCCTTGTAGAATTTAGGGCCTTAGAAAGGCCACAGTGTACAAATTCAAAATGTGAAATAACGTAGTGAATTTCGAGCTACAATCACCAAAACCAACCTAATGCGAATGTAACATGATGGGTAGCACTCTGTTATGGAGCATCACGCCAGTTTGAGTCTGAACGGGTTAAAGCTGAAAATTTTATTCCAGGGCAGCTTTCATGCCTTGTCCTTCAGCCCACACTCGGCTCCTCTCTCGCCATGCTAAATAAAACAACTGCCTCTCTGAGTGCACAGTGCATTATGTTTTACATGTAATTCTCACACATGTATCTGTGTCAGAAACATGCTCTCTCTCTCTCTTGCTGTCTCTCATTTGCATTCAGAATGATGTCACTGTCGGTACAATCTCTTGCTGTTCTATATTCTGCATGGTTTGGGAATCGGGGACAATAGTGGTGGGGACGTCTATTCATTCACAAGCTTTGTTTTATATAAAGGTTATTATATATAACTCTTCATCAAAGGGTCTAATGGAGGGGGAGCTCGTAATCTGTGGCTTGTGTAACGGTGGGCCTTTGAAGCTGCACATGTCATGCCTTTTAAGAAGTCTTTACATCATTGAGGATATCATTCTACTAGGTGACATCATTAACCCAAATGAAGTACCATTATTCATCCAGTGATATCACAGCAGACACATTGCCATGGTAACAGTGGAATTTGATATATATGCATGGGCAATGCATATTGATCTGACTGTAGAGGAGCCTGAAGAGAGTAGAGAGAGAGAGAAACCAGATCAAGCTAGCAGCTACATGTTGTGCAAGTAGCCTATACATTTACATTGTTAATTCATTTGGTTAAACAAGACAATGGTGAAAGCAATAACGCCTGCTGTTCTGCACTAAATCAATGACATAAATCCGGTTCCTCTTCATATGGAACAGTGGGATTATTTCAGAGTTTAACCCTAAGAGGTTGCAGTTATTGTTGGTGATAACAGGAGCATGGTGTAAATCAATATTATTATTTTTTTATTAATCTAGGTCATTGAAATAAGTCTGTATGTAAGTAGAAAAGGAGCCCTTTCATTATGATTTGATTTTGATGAAAAGGTATTGTTGTGTGTAGAGAGAAATGAAAAAAAAACACTTGTTATTTCATTGAGAGTAAATGTAACTAATTGTGGTCTTAAATTAGCTCTCAAATAATAAAAAAAAAAACTTTTTAAAGGTTAGTAAGACTGTATAATTAGACTTGAGAGAGAGAGAGGTGAGTCAAAGAGAAGCCAGTAGAACCTTTTTTAGATCTTTGTCCTTTTTTGTGCACCTGTTTTTCTCCTTTTCCATCTCAAATCTCTCTTTCACCTCTCTCCCTACTCATCTTCCTCTCAGAGGTCAATCATACTCTTACCAATCAATCAATCTCTCTCTCTCTCTCTCTCTCTCTCTCTCTCTCTCTCTCTCTTAAACAGTCTCTTCTTCACTCTTTCTGACTTTCTGTCTCTCTGTCTTATACTTTCACTCGTGCTCTCTCTTTTTCTCTGTCTTTCTCTCTCTCTCTCTCTCTCTCTCTCTCTCTGTCTCTTTTTCACTGTCTCTCTCCATCTCTCTCTCTTTCTCTCTCCCTCACTATTTCTCTCTCTCTGTCTCTCTCTTTATTTCTTCTTCACTCTTTCCCTCACTATCTCTCTCTTTCTCTCTCTCATTCACTATCTCTCTTCTTCACTCTCCCTCTTTCAGTCTCTCACTCTCAATCTCTCTCTCTCTCTCTCTCTCTCTCTCTCTCTCTCTCTCCGTGGTCAAACACCGTGTGTGGTGTGTAGGCTGCTAGGGGAGGCGGGGGGTGAAGGAGAGATTTGACCTATATAGGCGCAAAGTAAAATATTTATAGAAGTAAGTGGCCTAATTGGGGAGCAGCAGGCCGGCCCTCTCCTTCTTCCTTCCTAAATATGCTTTTCCTCTCCTCTCTCTCGCCCCATGCATCTTTTTTTCTCATATATTTATCCCTCTCCATGTCCATGTCCCTCGCTCCCTTCTGCCCTTTCCCCCACATTACTTATCTTCATCTTTCATTCTCTCCATTGTACATACCTGCAAACTGACCTGTCCACAATCCACCCACAAACATGTGCTTTAGAAGCAGCTGCTGCCAGGCTGGAGAAGCTTTACAGAACACGAGCAAAAATCCCATTCAGTCTAATGAGAAACTGCAGTGATCATTAGTAAATTCACTGCGTAATAGGGTCTGAATAGACTAGTTGACTAATAAATCCACTAGTTGGCGCTGTGGGCAACTGTACACCACGCAAACGTGAGGGTATCTCGTTCTTACTGCTGACAAAAGGTTTCCTGGCAGAACTAGCCGTCAACTGTGACTATTAGATCTTGGTTTTTAGTTCGGGCCATCGACTCAACTGTAAAATTACAGTGAATTACTGGCTACTAGTTTTGTTACTTTCACAGTCATTTACTGAACCATACTGCAATTTTAGTTTTGTTTACAATTTACACCAATGTAGACAAAAACTGATATATGGTAATGACAATAAACAATAATATTTTTGTCAACATCTCCAGCAATTCAGAAATATTTAAAGTCAGAATAAAAAACAAATGTTTCTATTACAATGTTTATACCTTTTGAACTGCTATACCCCAAAATGCTGTGCAATACATCTGACATCACAACCATGATGAATTCTAAACAGACCGTTGTTGCAGCTTATTTATATGCAGTACATGAAATATGAACAGCACATTTTAGAACTTTAGCAATGGTCACACAGTCAATTGGGATGTTTTTGTTTCATTGTTTTCTTTTTTTTCAGTTTAAAATACTACGCTACTGAGCTGGATCAAGTTGCCTTAGCTAAAGAAAACTTTATCGGGCTTGAAATGACAACAACCAATTTACCACCATGCTAAAGTTAGCTCGATTACATGACAAACTACACCCCATCTTTCCTATTACTGTGAGTTTTCACATGCATACAAAATAAATTTAATTAAAAATTAATAATGTGCTCTACATTAAAATATGCGCTTAAGTTTGCCATTAGGTTAAGTGGGCTTTTTGCCAAAATTCTGGAAAGCAGTTCAACCTTGCAACAGAAGCTACAAACAAAACTCTCCTGTGTGCAGAGCATGAATAGGTCAGTTCACACAAACATACATAGATGGACACATGCACACATATTCATATATAACTCACGGAGGAAGTACTCTGCTGCGTCTGCTTCATAGTCTGCGTCTTCAGGAAAGTGGTCAATCTGTTTACACAGCCCTTTAAAATTACCTACACAGAGAGTCAGAAGAGACAGAGGGACACATTACTTTTACATACAGTTTAAAAAATGTCCATATCTTACATTTTATTATATTTAAAGTCCACTGACAGTCATATGCAAAAACTGAACACCCCCATTTTAACATCTTTGTGCCATAACTTTTGCACAGGCCACATTTTATGCTTTTTTTTTCCTTAAATGGGTTAAATTCAGTAAATTAACCACAATTGTACAATGTAATGTGCAGGAAGTGCTTATAAAATCAACAAACATATCAATAGACTGGGACACACAAGCATAACGTGAGTGGATCTGTGCATCAAATACAGCTAGCAGGTAATTAATTTCACCCAAGGTTTTCCAGCCTCTGTTTATGGCTTAGAAATGAACAGGCTGGTTTAGTTAGAGTGCCTATGTATATGTAAATGACCTCTGTTCTGGTTGGCTGACACTTTCACAAGTGAAATGAAACATATTCCAAAAGCTATCTAACCTGAAATGCACAAAGCAAAACTGTTAAGTTTGAATAAAAGTCTGCAGTGTGTGCTGAACTGATGTAGGCAGTCATATGTAAATGTGTTCATGGCTGTGACATCACAACCATGAAGTATATAAAGCTGGCTGTTTTTGCAGCTCAGTTTGATATATACATATTAAAACTTTTACTATGTTTCCGTAGTACATGAGACTGTTTATTTATTTTTTTATTAAAAAGCAGGTTTTTAATTTTCCATGATGTGGGCCCTTTAAGTCTCACGGCTGCTGAATGAGGATGATCCAATGTAAATTCTTTCCACTTCTGCATAGACCTTAATAAGCAGCATGGCAGAGACTCAGTCCACAGACAGAAAGACCAAACAGAGTAGGACTACGTGTCTCACAAAATCTGGACTAATATGAAAATAGCCATGTGGCTGGAATATCTGTGATGCCAGAGGGGCATGGTCAGTGTGTACTGACCAACAGGGCACAGAGAGAAGAGAACAGAACAAAACCCGCCAGATCCGGGTCTGGAGGTAAGAGGAGAGGACACAGAGACCCATGATTGTTTCCGTCATGATCCTGGCACAATAAAAATAGATGACACGATTAAAAGTTGATGCATAAGGTTAACCTCAAATGCTGGCCTATGCTGTTTCATGCTGATTTATGCTGGTCTGGTGCTGGTTTAGCTGGTCACCCATGCTGGTTTTGGTGGTGATCTTAACATCTCCTGCTACTGCTGACCATCATACCAGCATCCAAAACACAAGGTATGCTGGTTCTGCTGATGACCAGCTATGCTAGTCTACCCTAATTTTTCTAGCAGGCTAGCCTAAAAGACAATTTTGTAGCACAGCCCATTATAAACATGATCTTTCAATAAAAAAAAAAAACAAAAATACAGACAGATACAGAAATTCCTCTGACACAGTAAGACTAACATCATTTGGCTAACTAAGCACAGCTTTATTCAGTGCCTTTAAGTATTCATTTTAAAGATTTAGTGTCATGTACCCTTGAATTCAGTCTTTCTCAGATCAAACCAGGTTTACCATAAAACTCCTCAAAAGTTAAAGAAATATTCTTCAATATTTCCTGATATGTAATATTTAGGAGAGCTTTGCCAGCTTTGTTCAGTGGCTCACTTGCTAAGAGTGGCCTGCTAGCTTCTTGCTATCTGGGAGTACATGAGCTAATGCTAGTACTAAGAGTTTAACGTTAGAAGAGGGGCAGTCGTTGTCTTCTGCAGAAGCTAAATTATTAAATTAATCTGGTGGATGATACAGAGACATGTTTGTGTGTGAGAACAGAAAAATACTGTTACTGTAACTTTAGCTATTATAGTTAGCCTATCCGCACTACTGCAGACTCAGGTCTGTGGCACCCCACACAGCAAGCATATATCGGTGCGCTAGCTTGATAGAGTTGGTATCTCATGGACTGTATGCATTGCTGATCCATTCTTGAACCACATTATTGTCCTGCATACAAGGTCTACTTAGTTTTTAATCTCCTTAAACAAAATTTAAATGCATGTAGTCTTTTATTTTGGAAAATAAAGTAAGACCATATTAAAAACAACTGAAAGAAACAAATGACACAGCAGATTAGCCACCAGTAGGCCACGTGGAAAACACTGAGTGCAAATACATGCACTCAATAATCCGATCATAATCAGATTTCTGCAGTTACCCGATTATTCAAAAGGTCATGTAAACATCATACTCCAATCTAGAAATCCGATTAAGAAATCCAATAAAGAGAGCTGGATTTTAGTTCAGTAATCAGATTTATCAGTGCATGTAAATTCATACACCGATTTCTATCGGATTTCTCACTCTGCGCATGTACGAGAACAGACAGTGGATGTCGCGAGATGGGAGAAAAACACAGTTGGAGCGGCGCTGAAACCAAACACGAAATAAAGGATTTGAATATTCTTCATCTTTTAGATGATGTAAGTTCATATTTTCAGGTAAAGTGGCACAATGTTTTAAAAAAAGCTGCGGTATGAAGTTTGAGTTTTATGTTATGTTTACGTCACGTCTTCTTCTGTGAGTCTATTGGCTGGTTGCAAAGCAGAAATCCGAATATTGCCTGACCCATGTAGACCTGGAGTTTCCCATTATCTGATTACTCAAGTGCATGCAAACGTGTTGACCAGATTACTGATAAAATCTGATTTTCTGCAGTTATCGGATTATTGAATGCATATAAATGCACTCACGGAGTAAAAGCCAGTGGGCTGCCAGCTTTGCCATCATTGGGCCAACAGTGGCCCACTATTCTCTTGCTTTCTGGGATGCTCAGGTGCCTGTGTTTCATAATAACAAAGTAAACTAAGACACGATAATAAGACTACACTGAGTGAGAAGAGCCAGTCTGTCTTTTGTGGCACAGAATTGCCAGTTTATTAGTTGCACCTATCTTGTACATAAACTCACTGGCCATTTTATCTGGTACAGATAATTTGCTAATCGCTAAATAACATGCCCAGTATGTTGCTACGCTAAACACAGAGACAGAACTACAGTAAATATTTGTACAAAATTAGTTTTGCAGCCAAATTTTAACATTTACAGTTGCACTTGTGAGACATTTACTCTGCAAGACTCTTGCTTGAATGTCAGACAACGTGAACTGTTAGCATAACACTGCGCTAAAAACTGAATGAGAAAAAGTCAGAGCTAAAGGGAGCTGTTTTTACTGAATGGACGAATATTCTTTCTGTGGAGATGAAGCAGATGAAAAATGCCAAACTGCTTTGTTCACTGTGCTCATTGATGCTGTGCGAGTGTGTGTGTGTGTGTGTGTGTGTGTGTGTGCGCGCTCGCTCCCCACAATACCGCTGCCATTGTGTGTGCTCTTCTGTTTAGCTCGTTTGCTAATTACATGCCCTCCCAAAGCACTGCAGTTAAACAGACCCTTGTTAATTGCTGATTGAGGGATGAAAGACCAGCGGCTGCCCTTCAAATGTGCGCAAGGCTCGCTCACACACACACACACACACACACACACACACACACACACACAGTGACTGCAGTGAATAACTGAAAGAGGAAGCCGGTTAGATTTTCATAGAATGAGTGCAGAACAGCGTTGTGACATTGGTGTCTGTGCATGCTGTACAGACATTATGACGCAGAATGAGAGACAAAAACAAAACATCAGCCATTCTCCTGCAAAGCTACAGACTTTTTGGATCGTGAAGATCCGTTCTTTTGGTTTAATGTTATAAATACAACTCAATAAGCCTGTGTAGTTAACCTATGTAGCATTCCAGCACTGATGAGATATTTAAGTTGTGGGTATGAGATATTTAAGTTGTGGATATGAGATATTTAAGTTGTGGATATGAGATATTTAAGTTCTAAGAGATATTTAAGTCATAGGTATGAGATATTTAAGTTGTCTGTATGAGATATTTAAGTTGTCTGTATGAGATATTTAAGTCATAGGTACGAGATATTTAAATCATCTGTATGAGATATTTAAGTCCTGGAGATAATATATTTAAGTCTTGCGTATGAGATATTTAAGTCATAGGTATGAGATATTTAAGTTGTGTATGAGATATTTAAGTCATGTGTATGAGATATCTAAGTCGTGAGTAGGAGATATTTAAGTTGTGGGTATGAGGTAGTTAAGTTGTGGGTACAAGATACTTAAGCTGTGTGTTTGACATATTTAAGTCGTGGGTATGAGATAGTTAAGTTGTGGGTACAAGATATTTAAGTCATGGGTATGAGATATTTAAGTCGTGGGTATGAGATATTTAAGTCGTCGGTATGAGATATTTAAGTTGCGGGTATGAGATATTTAAGTTATGGGTATGAGATATTTAAGTTGTGAGTATGAGATATTTAAGTCATCTGTATGAGACTTGAGGTGTTGAAATAAGAGAATTAAGTTGTTAATTAACTTGTAGCAATGCATGAGGATCTTGTTCGCACATCTTTGTAGCTTGTTATTATTAATAGGAACAAGGTATTTAAGTTGTGGCCACAACTTAGTAGGTCTTGGGAACAAGATATTCAACTTGTGACATAGTAAGGTGAGGAAATGAGATATGTAAGTCGTGGGAACAATATATTTAAGTTACCAAGCCCCAACTTAGTAAGGAATGGGAATGAGAGTCAGGAGAAGGAGATAGTTAAGTCATGGCCACAATGAGATATTCAAATCCTGGGTACAAGATATTTAAGTTGTGGCCATGACTTAGTAAGGTGTTGGAGCAAGATAATTAAGTTGTAAACTAAATTGTAGCCATTAGGATTTTGTTCCCACATCTTAGTAAGTTGCTGCTGTGCATCATTTTTATTATGAAGGATATCACCAGCGGGGCTCTGTATAAAAGCTTTTCTTCACAGCAGTGTTCATGCCTCCTATTCCAGCCCCCCCTTACCATCCACCCACTCTTCATCTCTGACCACAATAAATATACAATATAAAACACGCAAGGCATTATGTCATACATGTAATTCTCACACATGTATCTGTGTCAGACCAAGCTTTCTCTCTCTCT